ACAATAAAAAATTAGTTTAATTTGATTGGTTATTCTATTTTTACTATTAATGTTAAATGGAAAGATTACTTGCAATTGCTTTAAGGAAATTCATTGTTGTACGATTAGGTCGATCTTTTAAAATACACATGATTCGTTTTTCTCGTTTAATTGCTTTTATTTTGGGTTTAGATCTTTGCTCCCTATTAAAAATTCTTTTAGCTTGAAATTAACTCTTTGTTGTTCCTTCTCAATTTTTTTGATAATTGAATAGACACCTAAATGATCACTACGAACTGGATTATTCCAACAGTGATTCTATCCTTCAACTTTGTTCTGAGTACGTAGAAACCCAGATTCAATAGAGCTATAGACTGATCACAATTCTGGTAGATAGAGTGGTTGATTATGAAAGATATCACCATTGCTTAACTCTTTTCTAACCTTTCCAAGAGTATAAGTATTCTCAAACTATAGTACAACTTTATAAGCAATTGGTGGTATTTCTTTTTTCAAAATATTGAATGTAGTAGGAATTTCTTTAGGTTGAAAAAAAGCCAAGGCAAGCAAATACTATAAATTCTTACTTAAATTTAATTAGTTCCATATTGGACTACTAACTTTTCATTTTGTATTTTTTTCCATAAATTTTTTCCAAGATGAAAGAAGCATCCTTTATTTACAATACCTAAATAATAAAAAATAAGTATCAATTAGTTTATTATTTATTTTATAGTACTGTAAATTTTTGAAATAACAACTGGAGATATTATTTCGAATTTAGTATAAATTAAGTTTAATTTAGAGTAAAATTCAAAATAATATCTGCATTTGCTATTTTAAAATTTATAGTATTTACAAATTGTTATATATGTAAAAGACTAAACTAGTATTTAAAAAATTTTTAGAAATATCTAACCTGGAAATGTATCAGATGATGCATGAATTGTTGCTTGTTCGAAGTCAGTAATAATAGTTTGTGGCTTAAGTTAAAAATTAATATCTTCTGCAAAATCACTTAGAGTTTGAAATAGATGAATATAAAGTTCTTTTGACTTGCTACTCATTAAAGCATATACGAGTAGAAGAATTTGAGAATTGTCATTTGTGCCAACGGGTGCATGGATAGTATAAAACTGTTTAAAAATAGTAGGAACCATTTTAAAGGTACTATCCATGATCCAATAAGGTGCCCAGGATAAACGTTGTTAGTTTTAGTTGCAAATACAAGAATTTTATTTTGATTAATTTCTAAGTCTTTTATTAAGAATAATTCTCTATTTAAAGTTAGGCATAATAAGGCTGGAATATTAATTTCTTCAAGAGTCTGAGGTTGTGGTAGAGTTTTAGCGCTTCTAATCCATTTAATTCTCATACGAAGAGCTTCATGTGTAGGCATATAAGATGAAAGATTTAGTGGAATAGTGGCAATATTATCTTGAATAATTTGAAAAGATGTATCTCGAGTATCGTAAGCTTGTCATTTAATACTAGCAATAACTTTTGCAATGTCACTACTACTAGCTTCAGGAGCATGGTTTTTATGTTTAATGAATTTTTTAAGATAGTGTAAATTATTTGAAAAAGTAGTAATTGCTTGACCTTTACAACACTCTGACTTTCTCTTTTCACAACACCAATAATAGGTATTTCCAATTACTTTTTTCTTTACTATTAAGTAACCATTGACTACTAATTTTGGATTTCCTTTTTGTGATACTACTAGTTCACATATTTCGGCCATATTGTAGCAATATTTAAAAGGTATTGATCTTTTACTTAAAAATAAATTTGCATTTTATAATTATTATCAAACCAATGCATAAAATGATGCTAAAAATATAATGAGTTTATTGAATTAATTATAGAAGAATATTTATTAGTAATTATTATCAAACTGATACATGAAATGATGCTAAAAATATGATGAGTATATTGAATTGATTATACAAGAATTAGATAATGAATTTAAGTTTAATAAATGAAAAAGAGCAATATGGGATCTTTGCTAGGAAAATCACCCTTCGGGATTTTCCGATCGGGCTAATTCGGAAAGGTTTGGACCAGAAT